AACCGACTAATTAACTGCGGAATATTCATATGTCAAGAGCGTTTTATCAGACAGAAATTTGATTTTCACATTTAACCACAACGTGTAAATTATAAAGGCTTGCAAACATCCGAGTTTTTTTCCAAGGTCAGTGGCGGAAAGAGATCGAAAATGCTCAAAAATGACAGGATGACCGGTATACTTTCTCCTGAAGTTTCTTCGCCCTTCAATTTTGCCGTTTTATGATTTTGACCTTTGAGTAGATCAAACTTGTTACGTTTATCATAGAAAGAAGCCGAGAGGCCCACGATCAGGGAGCGTAGAAACTGATATTACTGTGTAGCGGAACAACACGATCTCACCCCAAACTTATACTTTGAAAACAGTACATAATCTTATGGCGATTAGAGAAAAACCTTAAATAAACAAAGCTCGATTCCTTTCAGACAAAATAATTGCGTATGATTGTCACTAAGAAACTGTAAAGGGACATTCAATATTTACACAATTTGACCCGTTAAGCCCCACCATAGTTTTGTAAGGCGTCAGGAAGATTAACAATGGTAATACTTCAAATAATGATTGATTGAACGGAGATTGAAAGAATTACTCTCCTGCATTAGTTTCGGTATATAATTACAAGGACAGTTGTATGTTTTTGCCAAAATTAAGGGTTCGACGAACAGCAAGATCCTCCGCAAGTAACAAGAACAACATCAGCACTAGAAAATAGACACTTCCGTTTTCATTGCTCAAGAAGCACAGTTTAAACGTAAAACAAATACCACGTGTTTTGATTCTTACGACTTGGGGTATAGCAAGCCAGGATTGTAATTTCAAGATATAACCTGGGAAACGACAAATCGTCGAAATAGGAGAATCCACTGTAAACCTACAAACCAATATTAATTCACCTATAAACGCGATAGTGTCTTAAATGAATACCGCGTAGTTAAAATAAAGAGGGATACATTAGGGTACATACATAATATGACATAAGGTCCTTTGTCCAGTGTTACTAAATTGTTCTAGAACGGATCAACGGATATCTCAATACAAAGTCCCGAACACCCGTTCACTTTCCTTTAATGAGTAAAAGTAAAAGTCAGGTGAGGTTTTAAATCATCGTATCTATGTTTATCAAACAGAAATTCGGAAAACTAGCTAGCCGCATTGTCATCAAAGACTTGTCGCGAAAATGTTATATATCTGCTCTTGCCGGATTATAAATTATTAGTAGTAAACGAATTGAACAATAACAGACAAGAACCCGTAAAATACGCTTCAATATTTTAAGAATCGCAAAACGTCACGGTAATGTGTCCATAAGGACCAACGATGCGATTTTTTTTGTCGCACATATGAGCTAAATCGAACGCAATTGCTTGTATCGTTCGCGTCATCTAGTCTGCGGGAGAGCATTGTTAGACAGTGCAACATTATTTAACCTGAGGAGCCGATGTTTTATGCATTTTGTGTGGTTATTGATTTTTATCGTAATATTTTGTCTACCAGGACCTGAAGTGAGAGTATCAAGATAAAATGGTGCTACCAACAAAAAAAAATACTTAAGCAATCAAGTTTAGAAATGATAACAGAATTCATGGCAGCATGTAGGAGCAGCAGATCATATAAATTCGACATCGTGCGCTCACGTTTAGCGAGAACAAATCAACCTAAGAAACAGAAGCCTCTGTCAATACTTTGAGCATACCTTAAACCGAAAACGGATCCATCTCATTCCAGTCCCAAAAACCTCCAGGGTGTCTCATAGTCGTCGTTTCACAATCAGCAAACTCCTAGGTTGTTCTAAAATGTCTGCCGTTTCAATCGAATCATTCAAGTAATTAATAACTGACCAGCCACACGTTATATTTTTAGGAAACGTTATGACGTCATAGTACTCCCAGTCACGAAAGATTTTGAGCACGTTTTTTTCAAATGCAGTGTGTTTGTCCATGTTTACTTGCCTACTTGCCTACTTTACTTGCCAACTTGCTACTCTAACAATTAAAAGTTTGCTTTAACCTCGCTATTGTAATAATCACCATTAAAACTTGTTTTTTGATTTACCTTACTCATATACAAAGGAGAGGAAAATTTACTGTTAAGCATAGGACAAAATCGAAGCAAATCTAAAATTCCGGTGAACGTGTCTCAAAGTTGGGATATTGAATTTCGGGGTTTACCTTGGTGCCGAGAACCTGTGAAGTTTTTTGTTGTTGTTGTTTCGCACATTTTGTTTTCCTAGGTTCTATTGTGATGACTTCTTTGTTTTCTTAGTTTTTCGTCAACCGTGAGTTTAACAGGTTCTTAAACCGAGGATGAGCCGTCGGTAGGTAGGCACAGTACAGGTTGATTCGCCATTTGATTTTTTTTTTCTTATTCACTCACTCTTCCTGCCGCAAGGATCAGTTCATGACTGTTATAATTTATAATTTGGTATAGGTTAAGCTCTTGTTTAAGTAGGTAGGCTTCCTTTTGGTCGGGGTAGCTAGGGAGGTGGGTAGATCGGTAGTAGGTGGGTGGGTCGGTAGTTAGATACGTGAGTAGATAGGACAGGAGCCCATGTTGAAGCCACAAGTGTAATAATTGACCACAAATGTAGTAAAGCTCACAAATGTAATAAAAATTGACCACAAATGCAATAATGCACTCAAATGTAATACAAACTGACGGCAAATGTAATAAAACCGGCAAAAACTATCCAAACCGTATATCCTCGACAGAACGCCGCCCTCAATACAAATCGGACAAAAACAACAACAAAGAAAACCGCCGCGGCGCTCTTTCGAAACACACAATATCCTATCGCATTTAATCGAAAGAGCGCCACCCCGAATAGCTTGGCATCAAAAAGCAATAAGCGCCGCGGCGTTCTTTCGAAAAATATAATTTAATACTGCATTTAATCAACAGGGCCCTCCGAGTAAGATTCGCACATGTGAAGAAGAAGACTGAATAAATAAACGCCTCGGCACTCTTTCGAATAAAGATATTTTTCTCCTGCCTTCAACACATTCAAGCGAGAGTGCTGCATTTCCCAGCAGTACATACAGCAGCGCTTATTTTGTTTATCAAACCTTTTAAGATGTTGATTATCTACTGATGTATGCTTAGAGCATATTGATATAAGTTTAAACCTCGCTTTGTTTTGAACTTTCATTTCTTCTGAAGAGTATGGTATTTAATGAAATCAGTGATGAAAATAAATAAGTATCCCCCAAAACAACTTCAAATCTTATTTATCGTATACGTACTGTAGGTGATACATTACTCCCAATAAATGATCAAAATCGTCGAATTACAGGGTCTGCAAGGTTGCGTATTAAACTTCAGTCAATGAAAATTCGCCTCTCCCGCGAGGAACATTTGTAGAATATTGTATTTTTCGAAAAAGCGCCGCGGCGCTTATTGATTTTCGTACTTAAAGATGCCAAGGTTATTTGAGGGCGGCGCTCTTTTGATTAAATTCAATGCAATTTTTTCGAAAGAGCTCCACGGTGCTTGTCATTTTTTAGCTTTCTGGTGTTTGAATCCTCTTTCTTTAATTTAAATTAAGGGCAGCGCTTTTTCGAGTATATACGGTTTGCATAGTATTTGACGGTTTTATTACATTTGTGGTCAATTACTACATTTGTGGCTTCAACAGCCCATAACCCGGAGCGAGCAACTTCCAAGCGCTCGTGTCAAGGCGTTTTCAAGGACCAGTTTATTTTTAGAACGGTTTTGGCGCAAACGTTGAATATCTTTTAAATTCCACAAACCAGTCAGCAAAACTAACAAACCTAAAAATGATATTTTTTTTACCTTTTAATAACGTTTAGTTTTATTTTTTTAATATCTTATACTTCGACAGGGCTCCTGACTTCGAATACACTCGTAGACATGGTGGAGATTCAATTTTCGCGGGAAAAAGTGCCCTAAAATGTGTCTAAAAATAAACTGGTCCGTAAAAACGCCACGACATCGGCCTAGTATGGGAGTTACTCGCTCCGGATTATGGGCTCCTGGATAGGACAGATAGGCGGGGTTATTCTTGGTGTTGCGGAAACCATTGTTGGTTCGCTTTTGTTTTGTAGTGTGGGTATTGTGAATGATATATGAAATAAATCATATATGAACTGCGGAAATGAAATGAAAATGAAGAAATAATCGTCGCAGTGAAAGCAATTTATGTAACCCTGTAACAAATAACCCTGTGACCTCGCGATTGCCGGTGCGATGCTCTACCAACTGAGCTATGTTTTTGTGAAAGAAATGAGTGGCACCGGTAATCGCGAGGTCACGGGTTCAAACCCCGTTGAAGTCCTGAATTTTTTTCAGGCTTCTTTGCGCAATTGCATAAATTGCGTTCACTGTGACGATCATTTCTTCATTTTCAGTGTGAGTATTGTTCAGTTTCTCTTCAATCTTTTGTATTATGTCATTTAGTGATCACATGACACTAGCCTGCGTGGCAGGCGTTAAAAGGGGAAGGGGAAGGGGGATTTGGGCGTGCTAGGGAGAAAGGAAAGGAACGCCTGCAAGAACGCTATTGTTTTCTCCATTTTTCACGCTCAGATTCTGAGCGCGAAAATAGTGATTGGTCAGAATTAATTAAATGTCAATCTTCGACTTAATATACCTTTTTCCGATTTGTTGAAACATTTGAATAACTAAACATATGTCGTTTTAGTGAAGTGTGTTGAGATTTCTCTACCGGAATTCATCGTTAGAAGGCATCAATTTCAGCTTAAAAGGAGAACAGAAAAAAGTAGTTAAAGAACCGTGTGAAGGAAAAGGCCTGTCAGCTGATGAATTTTACTGACTGGTTCTGAAAAGTATCACCTCCCAACGGCTTGTCGGTTTTACTCGCCAGAAGAAAGAAAGGAAAAGTCATCCCATCTGCTGTTTGACCCCGGGTGTTTGACCCGCGTTATCAACGGCAAGATAATTGAAGACGAAGCGATCTATAACTTTTGGCGATTTTTGGTTGAGGTCTTCTTCTTGCCGGATTATAAAACCGCCAGGAACTTACTTTAGTGATTGAATTGTTGCCTTTTTGCAGATCTTCGAAGTTCAGCTCTTCTTTCCCCGCCACGTTCTTTAGTGTGCTCCGCTGGATCCAATTCGTCCTGATAGAAATTCAAAGAGTGCGTGACGGCAAAGTGTTTTAATTTTTCTTAGACAAACATTGCATTGAAAGTTGTGAAGAGCCGCTACATTTCTTAGTAAATGGTTTTCCACCCCGATTCCTTTAGCAACAACTTGAATAGATTTATGCTGGACTTTATGTAACTCGACACGCGTCGTTGCAACTTTCAAGGAAGATTCCTTCGATGGACGACCGCATTTGAACTTTTTTTTTATAGTACCTTTACTTTAGATTTCTTGTTTTAGGAAAACAAAAGAAAAACAGTGCGAGAAATACGACTAGAATACGTGCATCGCGGTCAGACGTATTTGACAGCTAGTCATTCACAGTTGCGTTATTTTTGTTATTTTTTTAATTAGTAGGCGGGATAGCGTCCCAAAACTCCCTTTCCCTTTCAAACGCCTGCCACGCAGGCTATAGGCGGGATGGCAAAAACAATGGCTTCCTCGCAGGCGTTCTCCTCCTCCCTCCTCTCTCTCGCGCGGTCTCGCGCGCTAATTCCCTTCCCCTTCCCTTACGAATGCCTGCCACGTAGGCTATGATCACACCGGTCCGCAACACCAAGAAACTACCCGTATAGCATCATCATTATTTCATTAATAATTAAAATATTAATAATAATAATGATCAACCACGATATGTTTTATTAGAATTTTCCCTTAGATCAAGAGCCAAAAGAGTCCAGGAAAAGGGGGCGAAATTTCATATATCCCATGATGCTTCGCGAGTAATTTCTATCTCCTCTCAGCTCTCTCTCCACAGTGGAAAGAGCGTTCGAGGCCCAGGGGCCCCACTCACATATTTTAATGACGGGGCGGTTCGAAGGATTTTTTTGGGTTTGACATTTTGGCCAAAAGGGATTTTTTTGGGTCGCGAAAACTGACAGAGGGATTTTTGGGTATTGTAGTTTTTATCAGCTCAAATCAAAAATAACATAAGCGCAATTTATAGTTTTGTTTTTGACCAAAACCAAAGTTGAAGTTGGCATGCCGGCATTAGCCTGAGTATCAGGCGTTTCTGGGGGAAAAGGGGAAAGATGGAAGCGAAAAAGGGAGAGAGCTGAAGGAGAGAAACGCCTGACACAGATGCTTTTACTGGAACCTTCCACCCCCACACAGCATGATTCGAAACCATCCAATCAAAATCACATCCGGTCATTGGGTTGTCAGCTTCACGTGTCAAAAAGGTCGCCTAAAATAAATCTCACCATACGGTCTGGCCGAGCTCTGGTGGTACCGTGGCCCATAAAGGACATGAAACCCCAGCTATTTATTTTGGGAAATTTGAATGGTAAAACGTATTATTTCACGCTTGGGGTTTTATTTTCAGACCTATCATTTTTTCCTTTGTTAAAGCCCAAGTTTTTTTTTTAATTATATTTTAAAACATTTTTTAAAACTCAGATTTTTTCAAAACTCACGGTTTTTTTTAAACTCAGATTTTTTCAACACTCAGGGTTTTTTTTAAAAAAACTCAGATGTTTTCAAAACTCAGGGTGTTTTTTTTCAAAACTCAGATTTTTTTTCAAACTCGGTTTTTTTTTTTTGAAAACCAAGTTTTTTATCGTCTTGAACAATGCTCATGTCATATAACTGCCTACCACGATTGCTGGCTCAAAGAAAATGAGCAAAATGGCGTTGATGATCAAAATGGTTTTTATCTGTTTTATGCTTCATGTCCCTTTAGATAGTAATTATTAAGTCGGTTATTGCTTTTGGCAGAGTCTCTCTTAGCTCTATTAGTTGGGATACCAAATAATGACAATTCCGGTTTGGGATGAATTTGGCCACAATAGTGGCCGTTTATTTCCTTTAAGCATATCAAGCTAGGAAAATCGGGATACTCAAGAAGATTATCCCAGCAAAGGTGAGGGCACACCCGCCATCCGGGAGATGAAAGTGGAGCAAAAGGGGAGGAAACCGAAGGGATGGAAAAATGTTTTCCAACCTTCTTCTTGTAGTGAGGAGAGAGGCTTTGAGCCTCGCTTTCATGTCTTATAAACATACATGTAATGTTCAGGATGGCAGGAACGCCCCCTCACTGGTAGCTGGAGAAATGACACATTAATCAGTCACATTAAGAATAAAACTATTTATTTCTTTCAGAAATAAATTATATTTTTGTTTCATTTTATTCCTGTCATGTGGAACGAGCATAATGATTTCGTACTTTCCTGTGACATCAGGGAATTCTGACCGTAATTCTTTGATTGAATGTTACTTCAATACTTCAAACCTGGAGTACCAAGAAATCCTACGCTTCCTTCTTCTCGTACACGGGAATGGGAATGGGCACAAACGGGACTCATAGGTCCCATGCAAGGTGCCATCCCTACCCAATCCCACAACCCGTCAAGAGAGGTTGGCCACACCACTGGGGTCTACGTCGCCTACTCTTTTCGAACATTGGTGTGGGTTCTTTTACGCGTCCCACACATGAACAGATCAGTGAAAGTGCGGTTTTTCGTCCTTATCCAAGAAGACTAGAAAGTCTAACCATTTGCAGATGTCATGACAAAGGCAGCACTTTCTTCTCGGTTATTGAACCCGCGTTTGAACCCGCGACCTCCCGCTCGGCAGACCGGCACTCTCCCAACTGAGCTTACCAGGCGGCGGTTAATCAATCAAGATTGAAGTAACATTCAATCGAAGAATTACGGTTACAATTCCCTGATGTCACAGGAATATTAATGTACGGAGACATTATGTTCGTTCCACGTGAAAGGCACAAAATGAAACAGAAAACAGATAAAACCATTTTGATCATCAACGCCATTTTGTCATTTTCTTGGAGCCAGCAATCGTGATGAGCAGGTATATAACATGCGCATTATTCATGACAATAAAAAACTGGGTTTTGGAAAAAACCTCTGAGTTTGAAAAAAAAACCCTGAGTTTTGAAAAACATCTGGGTTTTTGAAAAAACCTGAGATTTGAAAAAAAAATCTGAGTTTAAAAAAAACATGAGTTTTGAAAAAAATCTGGGTTCTTTTAAAAAAACTTGAGTTTTGAAAAAAAATCTGAGTTTAAAAAAAGACATGAGTTTTGAAAAAAAACCCTGAGTTTTGAAAAAATCTGAGTTCTTAAAAAACTTGAGCTTTTACAAAGAAAAAATTATAGGTCTGAAAATAAGACCCCAAACCTAAAAATAATACGTTTTACCATTCAAATTTCCCAAAATAAATAGCTGGGTTTTTATGTCCCTTATGGGCCACCGTACTGGTGCCTGTGTTGCTACGATTTCGCTTTTTCTGAAACCTCCAATGAGGAGTTTTCGAATACTTGTAATGGAAAACCTGCAGTTTTTGAACATGTTTTATAACATGTTTTAGGAATTGTGCTAATGTAAGATCGCCAACGCTCTGTTTGGAAATAAACGTGTGCCCGGAAAACTGTAAACTGCTTTTGTTTACAGAGTTACAACAACGGCGCTCATTAATAAGCAGGTTCCTGAGAATCTGGCAGCTAAAAAGCTGCTGTAGATCAGGCCGAAAATCGTCCAAGGGAAAATCTAAAGTCAAGCTAACGCCTTGGTGCTGTCGGCTATTCTCAATAATATACATGGCTACCTCGCTCTAATTTTATTTACAGTAAAAATACCCTTTTAGCGGCAGGATGTTGTAAATCAAAACTTAGATATCCGAAGCACTGATATCGTCTTCTTTATCCTGGTCTCGTGAAACCAATACTCGGACATAGTTTCGGCAGAAGCTGGTATATGAGGCTTTTCCATACTCCGAGAACATCTTTCCTTTTAACTACGAGGGTTTGAAAACACAATTCTTGCTCGGGTTTTATTTTTATTCCCGGAAAGAACTTGAGAGCGCCCTCTAGAGTCTCTTTAAATTCCTCTCTGCGTCTCTATCCATAAAATTACCACATGAAATCAAAACACTCTGCTCGTGTTTACTTGCGGTCGGTGATGTCATGGCGTATTGTGTGTTATCCAATCACTGCCACATCCAGATTCTGGATGTGTCACACGATTTGCTGAATGGTTTTGTGTCAGGCCTTCCTTTCTCTTCTCCCCCCTCCCCCCTCCCCCATCAAAAATCTCCTCTCCCCCATCCCCTTAGGAAGGCCTGATACTCAGGCTATGCCGGCATTATTTAGGTTTCCAGAAGATAAATAATAAAATTTGCTGATGCAAAAACATTGTGGGATTTTTTTGGGTATGCTAAAAAAAGTAGGAATTTTTTTGGGTAGACAAATTCTGAAGTTGGGATTTTTTGGGGTATAAAATATGAACCTCTGTCGGACCCCGTCATTAAAATATGTGAGTGGGGCCCCTGGGGTTCGAGGGAGCAGAGGGAGCAGGGGGAGATTTTCAACGACCTGAATTTCAAGATGCAGCTCATCCAAGGTAAGTTTCAATGAGCCCTGTTAATCATTGATAATGTAAAATGTTTCCATGGTCATTTCACGCATTATTGCTCTCGTTTACGACCCTGTTAAGCCATGCTGTTTTAACTCGCAAGTGAATATTTATTTAGATGACTTTCAATTATCGAAAAGTGTCTTTATTCTAGCAAGGTTTTGCCCTAATAAATTATTTAAATCGGCGGACAAGGAGTGCTTGATACTAGTTCCACGCTCCGACCTCTTTCGACCTCGCGATTTTTATGGGTTTCAACGAGTCGTTTTGAAATATCACATTTTCTGCCCTTTCTCCGCTTAGATGCAAGACGAAAGTTTCAATTTCTTTGTGCTAAGTCCTGCGAAGATGGGACATTTTTTTTTAATTCGCTCTTTTTTCGCTGATCAAAACACAAATATTATCTCTTGAGGGTATGATGAATGTTTAAATTCAATGGGTTATAGCATAAAAGCTTTTTTGTCTCATTATTTTAAGTAATGATTGGTTTCTCGTGATGGCCGCAACCGCGCTTGGCGAACCTGAACTATACAGGCCAGCAAATGTCATAGAATAGCATGCCGTAGGACCTCAACTGGTGTATAAAACCTTTAAAGAAATTTTGATAATTCTTTTAGGATCCATTGTAGCTAGCGAAGAAGTGGGTGTTTTTGTGTATGTATTTTGCCACTTCTTAATAAAGCTTTTTTCTGTTTATATTTGACAATGATGCTTAGCTGGTGTTGCGTTACGAAAAATATAGATGTCCTTGTTATTTTTATTGTTTGTTGGAGCTGTTCCCCTCCTCTGAATTTTATCTGCGATAGACGTCACCTTGTACTTTAACGGTCTCGGTATTTTCGACTGCATAAGCCGAGCTTGTTGAAGTAAAAGCATGTGCGGTGACCGTACAGTTGTTGTACTGCATCGATGAATTATTGAACTGACAATATGAGCACCGCGATCACAAACAATCAACGAAGAGAAATCTCACACCCAGAATATGTATTTATTTCATGACAAGTACGTGGAAATCGCTTGTTAATCCATGGAGAGTTTTATCAACGCACGTTAAAACAGGACGTACTGAAGCAAAGACCTTCCTCGCTAGCTTCTAAGAACATTTGCGTGGACTGCCTATGTAAGGCTAGTTAACTCATAGTCAGGCCGCCAAAACACTCTCTTTGACTTAACAAGTGATATATTTGGAACAGTAAAACTAAAATCGTAAATAGATCGACACAGCAAAGGTACAGAACGTTTTATCGGCAAAACAAGTCGCTTTCCACCGTTGTTCAACTGTCACGTCCCTGTTGAACTGATAGGATCACGTGCGTTCGGAAGCTTTGATAATATAGTATGAAGCGATGCATCATGGGATATATGAAATTCCCCCTTTGGTCCAGGAGATATAACTTGTATATCTTTATTTTTTTTTCGTTTTTAAGTGTCATTGTTTTTTTGAAACAGTGAACCTTACCTTAGTCGTCGCTTTAAACCGGTCTTCGCTCATGAAAAATTGTATTCGGCAGATGTGACAAGTTAGTCTTGACAGTATCAGCTGTTTTCTTATAAGTTCCTGCCTTTCTTTCACACTAATAGTTCGAGAAGCCTGGGAAAATTGAAAGGAAATGAAGTTATATTGTTATGAAAATCAATAATCAACAGCAATGTGTATTTCTGTCTCCTATATTAATAAGCCAATTTACAGTCCTTGTCGAGGGCCATGTGGCAATGTCAAAGTGAACAAATACACTTTACAAAGATGTTTTTATTTCATTTCTGTCTCTTTTTCTTTTCCTTTTTTTTCACTGTATAAATCTGCGTTAACCTTTCGTCAATCGGCAGTTAAAAGCACAGTTTCAGGCAAGAAAATTGCCCTTAAAATATAGTGATTGCGATTGCACAAAAGGCTTTAGAACGGAGGAACAAGTTTATAAGAGTGGACATAAAATTGTATTGTTTACTGAGTTAATTATAACTTCTGATTATTCACAAAACTAAAATTTAAAAGATGTAAATTGTAAATTTTCTGTATATTTTCTCCAGTCATTCAATCGACGAGTATTTCAAGCGCTGTCCAGACGAAGGATCATAATATAAGGTATAAAAATTGGATATACCACGACAGCTGGACTCTTTCGCCGGTTCCCAGAGAATTGATCGAGTCGTTGTTTTAAAAATTGTCTGCATATAAAACCAAATCCTTTGATGTTACCATTCAAATGAATTCTCTCTGAAATGTCAGAAACAGAGATCACGTTCTTCGACACAAAAGTGTACAAAGGGGGTAACAGCTGTATTTTACAAGCTTTTTACAAAACGAAAGATGGAAGTTTTGTCAAATTTTGACTTTTGCCAATTTTGGGAGAGGGCTTAAAACTGTAAAGACTGAAAATCGTGCTAAGGAATACAACTTTATGATAGCTGGTTTTTAGATACTCGATTTTCTTTTCAGTTTGGTGATGAAAAAACATAAAGCAAAGTGGTCTGATTGCGGGTCAGATTTCAGTGTTCCCGTGCCATTGAGAAATTTCTACACGGCTCCGCTAGACATTTGTACCTTAAGTTACGAATGAAATTAACGAGCTAACCTAATATATTATTCTTTCCCAGCACTCCTATTTACTCGTTCCAACGTACGTGAGAGAAATATCAGGAGATCGAGATAAGTCAAAGTGCAAACAAAAATATTCCCAATGCAAATTTCTTCCCTGTGAGCGAACACGACATCCAGCCGTGATATCTCCACGTTTTCCTTCCGCTTGAGGTTAACCAGATCTTCCCTTTCTTGATCACTGGTCATGATCAGTACAAACGCCATTAAAGGTCCTTGAAGTTGGGGAGGATTTTGGAGCAAACCCCGGCAGTATCTTTCCTTCTCTGACTTACTCACGAGTAGTTGAGCTTTCAACGCCAAAGGAGGAACAACACTTTACTGCAGTTTCAACAACACCCCCACCCCCCTGACAAAGGAAGTCAGTCAAAACATCTCTTTTTGGTCACAGATGAGCTATTGTAGCTTTCGGTATAATGACACCTCATTTTTTTATTCCATCTTTCCAAGTTAAACCGGCTTAGAACTTAGAGATTATCAAGGTTTCTCGATAGAGTCTTAATACATTTTTACCATATGGCCATCCTCTTCTTTTTCTCCGTTTACCGTCGTCCGACCGACCCAAATTTTTGCCATTTTCAAAAAAAAAAAAAAAAAAAAAAAAAAGAACATAGTTACACCATTTTTCACTTGAAATAATTCTTTTTATCTGAAAACTGAGCATAGTAAAATTCTCTCTTGGTAACAGCATAGAGAAAACTGGCAGAAACAAAAACATGAACATTTTTCACAGTATATTGTACATTTTTATTTCAATCCAAATATGTGAATGTTAACTTTTAACGCCGTCCTGGGGTACCAGGGCCAACTATTCCGAGACTTATTGTGATTTTTTTTTTAGGTTTTTTTTTCCATCCGACCGACCGACCCAATATCAGGAAACGCATTCGACGGTAAACGAAGAAAAAAAAGGGAGTGGCCTATGGATGAAAACGTTTTGAGAACATGGTCAGGCAATGGTTTCGACTCCCTTTGGTCATAGCCTGCTCCAGGCGTTCTGATTGTGGAGCGTGGCGGCGTCGCTGTTTTTCCCGTCCCCAGGATCTGAACGCCTGGAACAGGCTACTTTAGGCATTGCTAAACTTCTTACCCAAAATTCGCGTTCCGTTTGTTTTTGTTGCTGTTGGCGGTTTTGTTGTTTTTTTGTTGTTTTTGTTGATGATGTTGTTGTTTTTTTAGTTCAGAGTGTTTCTCTTTTTTTATTGCGACGTCTAGCGCGAATACATGTGAAGCAGAGGACGTTTAAGAAGGTAGAAGTCGCTGGTAATCACGCAGTGAACACTGCAATCCTCACGGTTGTTCTTTCTCTGTCTTTGATAAATTTTTCACCTGTTCTAGTGTTTTTAATCGCACAAGATCGTCATCAAGATTATTTGCGTATTCACAATTACACTGCAAAACCATATATTTGTTTAGCCTTCAAAACAAAGAAGAGCCTTCTTCGTAGGAACTGGAATCAGTTTCAAAGGACCGACGAAACGACTGAAAAAAAAATCTGGGTCAATACAGCCGTCTCTTCAGTCGCTCCTCGCCGCTTGAGGCGTCTTCTGCGAAACGTCTTTAGCGGTAAGGAGCGAGGAGAGACACCTGTATTGGTTGGCTAACTGAAACACACTGGTCTCTACATAAACCTGTTTGCCCGACAATAAGGTATCCTCCGATCAGACGGACACCTCTGTGACGTAACCGTTCAAGGCGTTCGATCTGATTCCTCATACGTCGGTCTTCCCTGCCGCCAGGGTGTAATAATAGCCAGCCGGATCTACAATTTCATATTTGACTCTCTTTGTTCGGCCCCCTTTCGGCCCCCGAGTAGAAGTGTGATTGTTAAAATGCTTTAAAGAGAAAAAAAAGAAAGAAATTTTTATTGACGCGTTGGTTAATTACCGGTTTGGTGAATTATCATAAATATAAGTCAACAAAACAAGCCAACTCCTGCTTGCTGATGAAATTGTTCACCGACAGTTTATTTTATAAAAAACATTTAAAGGATCAGGTTTTGTTTCTGCTGTGTTTTTTGTTGCTTATATTCTTACATTTCTCTCCTGACGGATGAATAGCATTTTTATATTCAAAAAAATATTCGAAACATCCGATAGCGTTCGTTTAAAATTACTTTTCAGCAATCAGCAGACAATGAAGGAAATGTTGTTCAACCTGCTGAAACAGGGCCGAGATCCAAAGGTAAGTGACGAATGGATAAAACTACTGAAATATTTTTTGAACTTCCAATTAACAACAGCTCTTCTGATAAATATCGGAGAGAAGTGGAAAGAAAAGTAGGGATGTAAAATAATGATACGAGTGAAATAATTAGCACCATTGTGAGTATTGCATGCGCAATTCAAGACAAGGGCATCTGCGTATCACTTACCTTCAGATGATTTCCTTACGTACTTGTTGTCTTTGAATGAAGAAATATTTCTCGTCAATTTGCTGCGTCGATTATGGAGACCGCAGTGACGATGGGTGACTGAACTCAGCTCGCTTTCCGTCACCTTGAACCACAAACCGGGCTGATGAACGTAAACGCGGAGCAAAACCGTACAAAGCAACAATCAATTTTCCGCTTTTCCTGACCGGAAAGAAATCGGATGAGTTCAATACCACGCAACCACCTGCCCTTATTTAAGAAAATAAAGAAGTACTGGACATCGGTTCAAATGCGAAACACAACCCTAGGCCGTCCCAAATTCAAATATCGTGCATGGATAAAATGTGACTAGCTTAAAAATAATAAAATAAAGCTACTTTCACTTAGTCAAGGAGTTAGTTTTATGCTTAAAATACAGGAGACGTTGGTTTTGGCTTTGATTTAGCGACAGCTTACCGTTTCGTTCTTTTTGCCACCGATTTGTTTTTTTTGTTTGCTTCTTCTTCCCCTTTCAATCGATGATGCATTTGTTTATGATGTTGACTTGGAGAGGTTATGAATAAACTAAAACACAATAGGCTGGTTTTATCAAGTCAATTACTACCGTAAAAAGACTCTGAAAAGCTCGTTGACATTCAGATGTTTCTAGCACCAGTCTTTCCCACGAAAGTCTAGTGGGTTGGCAATAGAAACGTCTAAGACTGAGCTTTTAAACTTTTTGGACTTGATTGCCTCAGTTAATAAGACAATTTCTATTGAAACTTATGCACCAATCCTCTCATTTATGAATAATCTGGCCATTTCTGACACGCGGGATTTCACTGCTGGGAGACAGAAGCCGGGAAAAAGTGGAATATTTATTCACGTAATTAAATACCCGCAATAAGGATTTTAAGTATGTCAAGTATGAGCAACTGAACTGATTTAAAAGATCAATTGATACGAAGGACAAGACATCCTGTCTTTCTAGTAAGAATAATAGTCTGGCTTCGTCAACCTAACCTAAATGTTGATTTTTCTGCATTACTGGTTATTATTTATTATTACATCCGGAACTTAATTTGTACACAACATGCCTGTTAATTCACTATTATGGTACCTATGTTAGTTTCCTTTCTCGGATGTGTTTCCTATGGAAAAAATATATTAAAAGTAAGTTATGATAATTAGAAAACGGGCAGCAGATTTCTAAAAATGTAAATATTTTAAAATAATATTAGACCTTAAGCTAAAACATCAATCGATAACTGAAATTTTGATAGCAATCGTCATCTCCATATATGTTTTTTTCCTCCTTCTCGGTCGTTGCGTGTCGACACTAAAAACGGCTGTGTAGCAGACTAGCTTCTCGGTTGCCGGCTCTTTTTCATTTACGGTATTCTGTTTATTACTCTCATTTATTTTTTCGGCGTACCTGTGTTTTATAATCTTTGCACACTTTTCTTTGAATTCTTTCCACTGTGGTAGTGGCCAACTCGAAAGCTTTGCTCCTTTGGCCACTACGCACCTTTCCAAGAAAGTAATATATGACTCAAGGTATAAACATGGAATGCAAATAAAATGAGCTTGAACTTAAATTGGCTTATAAGGGATGTCGCCTGGAAACAAATGTTAGCATTAGGCGGAGATACCCATACTCGAGTCGCTCTTTCAATATACGATTACATTTCCTTTTTCATGAGCGTTCACACACTTAATTGTAAAAAGCATAAGGCCAAGAACGAACCAAGTGGCAACGTAGTTAATTATGTAAAATGGTCGTGAAGCCGGGCAGACATCTTGCGGATTCTCAAGACCACTCTCTTCCTCTCAGTAAGACTGCAAGTTCTGCTTTTTCCGCTCTAATTCCGTATACTGTCTACATCTCTAGTCAAAATATTCTTTCCCACAAGGAAAATCCTATTCAAATTAGGAACATGCAGTATATAAGGTTTAGTGAGTGAGTCAGTCAGTATCGTTTCACATGGAAGATCAGATAGTACTATGCTTGCTTTCTTCACAAGAAAAACTTTATTTTTAATCGGATGTTTCTTGGTTTGAAAGTTCATCGACAGAGCGGTTTTCTACTGATAGTTCTCTGAATAATGGTGACAATTTGAAGTGTTTAAAAGTACTTTATCACGAAAACAGGACAAAATGAATAACAGTTGTATCCGGAGCAGAGGCGGATCTTCAGTACTTCAAATGATTTATAGTAAAAATGTCTAGTCATTCACAGTAATAATCAATAAAACCTTCTTCCGCAGGTTTTCGATCCTTCTCGTTTTATTAACTCTCTGTATAAACAAATCCGTTTATAATAAAGTAAAACTGTTACATTTATAGAGACCGAAACCCAAAGCAATGGTGACATCGAAATTAAAGGGCTTTGTCGCGTTAAGTGAAGGGAAGCAATTTTCTATACCTTAAAAAGTTCAGTTCGCAGATACAGTTTACAGTTTCTTTGTTTTTCTGTTGTTTTTAGGTAGGTAAGCGAAAAACTCCTTTGTGTGTCGACTGCTGTGTCAGGTGATACGCCCAAAAAACCAGTGGTTAGTCTATAAAGGGGTAGTCTCCCTCGCTGCCGTTTTTAGTATCGTCACGCAACGCTCCTTGGGAGGAGCGTTGCGTGACAATACTAAAAACGGCTGCGAGGGAGACTAATAAAGGGGTCATGTCACGCTATATGCTATAAAAAAGACTCATCAATTCGTGAATTCGAAAAATAGTGGTACGGGTTTGCGAAATATGCATTTCTTATCAAAAACTATATTTATTATAGGCACCGAAACTTTTTCCTATCGTCTTTTGTACGGATGGCAAGGATGAACATGGACTGAATCTTGGAAATGTTGGGCCAACTTTTTTCAAGCTTTTTACATGTAATGTTATCCCTGCAAAATCATCAAAAAGTTAATATGGTTACGGTGCTCTGATGAATTTTGTTTAACATCTTCTTTATTATAACCGCCACAGGAACATTTTGTGTATAGTTATGATTTCACCACATGCAGAATTGACCGAAAATAGCAATATTTCGTACAAAATAGCCCCTTTTAGGGCACTGACGTCTAGTGTGTAATTCAATTCAGCAACCGAGATGACGTTCATGACCGAGAACAATCCCGTGAAGACAGAATACAGTTACAAAAGTAAGAGATTTTCAATTATTTAATTTACAACATGTACACATTTTAATTGTCCTACAAGGCGTTCAAGCACCGTTTTTGTTCTCCTTTTTTTATGGTTTCTTTTTTGTTTTAAATATAAATTTGTTTGTTATGTCAGTTTGCATTTCTCTAGTTTAAAGACTGTTTTGTGCTTCTTTGTTACCTTGTTTATTTGTTTTGAGGACCAAAAAGAAGGCTTAAAATGCCCGCCATTAACTGGATTGTTAAAAGGCTACTTAGTTAAGTTACCATCAAACAGAAATGAACTGAGTGTCGAACAGATTATAAATAAGCTTATTTTCTTTAGTTCCCCGGAAATATGCCAGTTTGAATCTTGAGATTAAAATCCTTCAAAAATTATCGTCGTGATATCTATTTCGTTGACAAGTAGTTCTCTCACCATATCCTCGATACAATATTTTAATATATCTATCCCCCTTTTGATAGGAAGTCATCTCCATCTTGCTGCCATTTTCCGCACATCCACCCCCCTTGTTAGTCATATCAAATTCAGTAAAGTTGTTTAAATACTACTTAGTCGAGCTTAAGATGTTATATGGCGACGCACGTTAAACCGGAAGTGGACGTCTTGCATTCTTGGGCAAGGTTTTTTGCCCTGAATTGGGGCAAATTTCCTCTGTATGACTAGAGCATTTAGGCCTCACTTCTGGTTGACATGCGTCGCCCAAAAACGCCTTTACTTAAGCTCCCAATTCATTATGTTAGAGCCGAAACAGTTACCCAAAGCATAATTAAATAAAAATGGGACAACTCAAGCAACAATTCTGGATGATTTCGGTAATATTTAGTGCGAAACATACCTGAGATTTATGGGTTTAAAAATTCTCGTTGAACGTGTCAGCAAGTTCTTAATTAGTTATTTTCCAAAATGATATGATTTACACTAAGATAACTATATGTTCTCGTATACATGTAGCAAATATTGCTGGCCGTAAAGTTTCTTTTTTCCACTGATAGTGTTGTTTCGCGCACGGTTAGGAGTGCGCATACATACAGTAAATAAGACAATATGGATTGATTACGGTGGGGCTCTTCTCCCCAGATCTGTGTTTTTAAAGTTCATGTGATCCATTTAGAATGGCACTTGGGACCTATATGCTGACAGTTTTTCTTAGTAAAGCAGGTGTTATTGCTCTTATTTTTTCCGCCTCTGGTTAACGGACGTAGTCAGTTGCTTTATATTAAAGAGCTGTTGTCGTCGTAGTTAACTGTTCGAGGTGAATGCTCTCACCCTCGCAGGAAGAGTTTGCTGGACGACAACAAAACCACATCAACGAGCCACGCCTTGTTTAAGTTCCCCCGCTGCCACATTATGATATTGGAGGAAGCTGAACGCATTTTTTCGGCGTCGATGGGATCTTAACTGGCGTCAAAGTACCATTTTGCGCCTGCTTTGTAAGTTTTGGAAGTAATTCTTTAACAAGCGCCCAGCGGCTTTCGCGTCGTTTTGCAGGCACGACTTTCGGACAGTGCTTATCTTTATGCAGACCTCCGTGTACGCGGGGAGCCATGTTCGAACCTTCGAGCCAAAATGTTATCCAAGTGCCTTTACCCTATGGGATTTGAAATATTGAATGCGTTAGGGCGACCAGTTCACCCTTTATTAGCCTGAGTATCAGGCCTTCCTAAGGGGCTAGGGGAGAGGAGATTTTAGATATGGGGTAGGGGGAAGGGGGGAGAAGAGAAAGACTGTCCTTCAGCTTTCTCCCTTTTTCGCTTCCATCTTTCCCCTTTTCCCCCAGAAACGCCTAATACTCAGCTACCCTTTATTTACTGTGTGACACTAAATTTTTGCGCAAGTGTAATTTTGTTGACGATGTCACCGGATTTTCTTGTATTCTCGTGGCATGAATTTTTGCGAGACTGGTCTTTCTCCACTGACGCTGGGTGATTAATTTTTTTTCCGACTTTCAGGAATTCGCGTTCAACTGGCATAGCAACACTATGTGCTTGATTAAGCTACATGCAGTTACCCTGGCTCCAGAGGTCTGTTCTCGAAATACAGAGGAACCTCGATATAACGAACGATTTTCTTTACCCTAGTAATAGTAAAATATATGAAAAAGGAACCCCGATATAACGAAACCTCGTTATAGCAAACAAATGTTGTCAGTTCCTTGGCCCTTTGTTAAATCGAGGCTCCACTGTACCTAGGATGAAAAATACCGTGCCCACGGTTTACTGTGAACACGGTTTATTTCATCCTCGGCCGTATTTCGAGGAGGGACCTCTGGAGCCAGGGTATCGGTCATGAAGAAAAAAGCTCAAATGTCTCAAAAATTACAACCCGCAAAAATTTGGTGCCAAACGGTAGTCATGGTAGCATGGTATAGCCCTATAGCCCTAGAATTGCCCTATAAAGGCCTGGCCTTTGCAAAAGGAATTAAAGAAATAAGTTTGCTGTAATGATTTTGCGACATAAGTTCCGCAGGCATTGTACCTCATATCACAGTGGAAAAGATAGGGAACAGTGCATCTGATTCGATTGATTTACACAGCGTGGCAAGTTGGGTTCACGAAGGGGCGTTACGGTAAAACTCGAGGGATTTATCATCGCTGCGATCGTGATGGGACAAGAACTTAGAGAAGGCGTATTTTCACAGAATCGTGTCGCAATGGAATTGTCTAACGATGCAGAGCTGGTTGAAACATCTTTTGTAACACGATCGCGCACAAGTCCCAGCCAAAAGTTACATGATAAAATAGGGTCTATCTGCCGGGTACGTGCAAATCGCCAGTAGAGCGGCCCCACCCTCCTTCAGCTCCCTACCCCATCTCCCCACGCCCTCAAATCGTCTGCGTCTCTGTGTACATCCATGTCAGAGAAGTGCACAAAGCTGTCTTTATGGGTGAGCTTCGGTCTTGAACACATAACTGCAATATCTAAATGTACCTTTAAGAAGACTTCTCCTCTTTCTTGAATATGATAACCTCCAAGGTGATCAAGCAAGCTCTTTGTGTCTGAGCTGATATGAATTTTTAGAGCTGTGAAGGAATAAGAAAAACGACTTCTTGAACTCTTTAGAGCAGAAATGGATCGTAAGATCTTAAGAGACAAGAGAGACAGGCCGGAGCCTTTATTTTTTGCTCATAAATAGTCGTCTCTGTGAAGTACTCCAACCGGGGTTCTTACAACCACGGCTTCTTCCTACCACTGTTCTTACAACCAAGTGTCTTATAACCAGGGGTTCTTACAACCACGGGTCTTACAACCAGGGGGTTCTTACAACCAGGGGTCTTACAACAACCAGGGGTTCTTAAAACCATGGGTCTTACAACTATTGGTTCTTACAACCAAGAGTCTTATACCCTGGGGATCTTACAACCAGGGGTCTTACAACAAGAAGTTCTTACAACCAGGGGTTCAAAAAACCAGGCGTCTTACAACCAGGGGTCTTACAACAAGGATATCTTACAACCAGGGGTTCTTACAACCAGGGTTTCTAACAACCAGCCGTCTTACAACGAGGGGTCTTAAATCCAGACGTCTTACAACCAGGGTCTTCCAACCACTGGTTCATACAACCAAGGTCCTTAAAACCAGAGGTTCGTACAACCAGGGGTCTTATAACCAGGGCTTCTTACAACCAGTGGTCTTACAACCAGGGGTTCTTGCAACCCGGGGTCTTACAACCAGGGCTTCTTACAAAAAGGGCTTCTTACAATAACGGGTTCTTACAACCAGGAGTCTTAAAACCACGGCTTCTTACAACCAAGGGCTTATAACGAGGGTCTTATAACCAGGGGTCTTACAACCAGGGGTCTTACAACAAGGGGTCTTATAACCAGGGGTTCTTACAACCAGGAGTCTTAAAACGACCCTTGCTTGTAAGAACCAATGGTTGTAAGAACCCTTGGTTTTAAGAACTCCTGGTTGTAAGACCCCTGGTTGTAAGGACCCCTGGTTGCAAGAACCCCTGGTTGTAAGAACCCCTGGTTGTAACACGTCCTGCTTGTAAGACCCCTTGTTGTAAGAAGCCCTGGTTTGAAGACCCTTCGTTGTCAGAACTAAAGCTTGTAAGACCCCTGGTAGGAAAAAACCCCTAGTTGTAAGAAACCCTGGTTGTAAGAACCAATGTTTCAACCAGCGGTTCTTCCATCTAACAACAAGGGGTCTTACAACCACGGGTTCTTACAACCAGGGCTTCTTACAAGCAAGGGTTCTTACAACCACGGGTTCCTCCTACCAGGGGTCTTACAACCAGAGCTTCTTACACCCAGGGGTTCTTACAACCAGGGATTCTTACAACAAGGGGTCTTCAAACCAGGGGTTCTTACAACCTGGGGTTTTACAACCAGGGCTTCTTACAACCAGGGGTCTTACAACCAAGGGTTCTTACAACCAGGGGTCTTACAACTATTTTCTCTCAAAACCAAAGGTCTTATAACCAGGGGTACAACCAGGGGTTCTTACAACCAGAGGGTCTAACAACCAGGGGTCTTACAACCAGGGGTTCTTACAACAAGGAGTCTTACAACCAAAGCATCTTAAAACCAAGGGTTTTTACAACATGGGGTTGCATAACCAGTGGTTCTTACAACCAGGGATTTTACAACCACTGGTCGTTACAGC